ATGTTGGAGCCAGCGGCAGATAAGCCCCCTTGGAGTAAAGTAAAAGTGGCCAAGATATAGCGAGCTCTTTTGGGCCAGCTGCTTTTTAAACATTATTGGTAATCTTTGCCCTGATCTGGTGAGGAAGATATACTTATCCTCACTTTATAGTTGAAGGAACTGATGTTAAGTGTTGGCTCAAGGTTTCTGCTTTTGCATACTGCTTGCATGCAGGTCCTAGGACAGAGAGCTGGAAATGTGTGTGCGCCTGGGAAGTTTGAAAGCATCATCCTTTAGCAGTGAGAACCACTTAATACTACTGATAATGATGATGTCATTTCATATTTATTGCATACCTACTATGTGTTGGGTATTATATTAGGCAACTCATATAACTGAGCCCATTCTTTCTTGTGTCCCTTTGAGGATATAAGGACTGCCACCGTTTCAAGAATGAAAAACTAAGGCTCAGAGAGGGTAAGTAATTTGCCAAGGTCACACAGGTAGTGACTGCCTTGTATTCCATTGGTATTCCAGGGTCCAGAGGAAGAGGGGCTTAAATCTTCTCCCTTCATCATTGTGGTGTTACTGAAGAGAGAGTGTATATACTAGGCTCTTTGAAAAAGCCATTTAGTCACAAGGGTGGAGAGGTGGGGACAACCAGACAAAGACCAGAGTGATATATCTGAAAAGCAGTGGACTTCTCTGGGGCTGGGAGAATGCTTGGTAGGGCTGGAGCCTCAGGATGGAGGGCCAGCCATCTGCTGGGGACAGTCAGGAGACAGCATCTTACCTTCACTGTACCATTTAGTGCCAGCACTGCTAATGCTCAGGGTGGAAAGAAGGCAGGGAACTTCTTTGCTCTACATTGTACCTGAGGTCCAGGCTTGGGCGAAGGTCGGTCTCCAGGACTGATTGGAGAGAAAGGTCATCCACCTGGACTGGGATGCATGAGTTGGCTTGCCTATCGAAGAGACCACATTTAATTAAATTAATTGGTTAGCTAAGCTAGGACAAAACATAAAGCACAGGAGGGGTGCACTCTGAGCAATAAAACTCCCTCCCATCTTTATCTCTGTAGAGATAACCACTGTTGCCGCTCAGAGATGCTCTGTGCATCCACGGCATATATGTTAATTTTTAAACATAAATTCTGAGGCCAGTGTGAAATGATGTTTATTTCAAGGTTTTTGTCTGTACCTTTACAAAAGACATTTGCATAATATTTTAACATTTCAGATGTTTGCAACGATTAGGTTTTCTTCGAAGCTGAGAAATTTTGCACCTACAGATGAA